CTTTCCTTTCCTTTCCTTTCCTTTCCTTTCCTTTCCTTTCCTTTCCTATCCTTTCCCTGCTCTTTTTGTTTGTGTTTGTGTTTTGTTTTGAAGCAGTTTTATTCCATGGGGAACTGCAGTAGATATACATCCTGATTCAGAAATACATTCTCTCTTGCATTTATGAAGCTTCACATTTAGTAACTAACCCCCCTTGAGTTATGAGAAACTGGGCAGTATTGAAATGGTGTAATAAATGAAGACATGTAACCCCATGGTACATTATAGGAATCTGTAGTCATTAGCTCACCATCTGTATCATATTAATGTTCTCTTCTCTCCAAACCTCCAAATCAAAACCAAATAGTTAAGTCAAACATTACTTTTCCCAGTGTTCACAAAGATATTTCACCATAATAAAATTCTTCCTTGTTGTTTTAATAATGCTTCGTTGTTTGTGAAATAGACCTTATAACAGGCACTTCTAGCAAGACAAATAAAATACTTGTGAGGTAAGAAATACACCCACCACTCATACACACAGAGACTCCTGCTTGCTCAAACACTGGGTCTTTGAATTTGCACCAGGGGCTCAGCGCTCATGGGAGCAGTGACATGAGGGGAGGATTTTGGACATCCAAGAAATAGGAGCATCAGAGCTCTTGTTTCACAGACAGTTCATGGAAGTGCTCCAAGTTATATTGAACTCATTTAGCTTGTAGATTACTCATAACTGTTCAATACATATGTACAAATTCAACAATTTGAAGATAAGGATTGTCCCTCCAATTTCTTTCACCTTAGACAGTGCACTCAAAGGTCTTTCTTTCTTAAGTCTCCTTGGCCTGGTTTGTACACAGTTCAGAACTGCTTATTCTTAGACATTCCTCCTCCTCCTCAAATTGAACCCCACTTCTGACTCTGCTCTAGGGTAATGCAGACCCTCTTTTGACTTGGTTTTGTGTACCAACAGAATTTTAGCCAACATAAGGCACTTCTGGCCCTTCTTTTGAAAACTGGTTGCTACTGCACTGCACTGTTATTTTCAGAAGACTATTATTATTATTATTATTATTATTATTATTATTATTATTA